ACAACAACATAGAAGTTTTTGAATACTTGACCCTGGGTGATGGCAGTGAGAAGAGGGAAGGAAGTGGAGTGGTTAAAGAAACAAACAAGGAGAAAATTGGTAATCTCAATTATGTAAGAAATAATTCTCAATTATTTAATACCATGATGGTTCCCAAAAGGGATTTTAGAATTTTCTACTTATGAAAAATAGAACCAACAAAATTCTCTGTAGCTCAGGGTAACTAAGCAGAAGGTCAAGGAAGGGATAAAGTAATTTTGTTAATTTTCTTAATTCTTTTTAAAAATATTTTCATTAGCTTTTGGTGTTAACAATTGGCTGAGACCTGATTTTTAAATGGATTTCACAATGAATTATTTTCTGCTTTAGAAATTTAGAAAAAAAAACAATGTTTAAAAAAATAATCGTTAAAAGTAATTCTATCAAATCAATTTTTAAGGGGACTCTAAAATTTACAGCTTCAGAAAATCAAACTAAAAAATATTTTGTCATATTAGAGTAAGTGATATTTGTACTTTTTAATTTTTAGAATTTTAATTATTGAATTAAATAGGAATGAGTGTCTCACTACTTGAAATTGACTCAGTTTTCATGGGTTATTTTAAAAATTTCCTGAAAATGTAGACAACCTAAAAATGCATTTGGAAAAAAAATTAAACATGAATCATAAAGGCCTACAGTCAAGAACTTTAAATAGAATTATTTTTTACAGGTATTTATTTTATAGCAAATACACAACAAAGTACATATACCTTCATATATATACAAGACAACCCCAGTAGTCCAAATAAAAAGTGTAAGTTACAAAATCAATAATAAAATGATTATTTCAGATACAGATTCATATGCTTTCATAAGTTTTCTCTTTCTCAGCCTAAATATCTTATTTACATAGAAAAATTATCAAATGAAATAATGATGTCAATAAAACAAAACACTGACATCTCACAATAAAAGAGTCATTGGACACAGAAAACAATTTGAACTTTTTAAGGTACAAAATAAGAAACATGATTTTTACAAAGAGATTAATTCTAAAAATGGCAGCATGTTGAACTCAAAAAACCTCCTTCCAAGGTGGCATAATTAACAACCAAAGTCAACTTTCTCACATTATCACAGAATTGTTCTTTTCACCACACTGCATGAGACATATTCGTACATCAAGTGGAGCTAGCTGGAAAAGGAATCCAAACGGGCCTATTTTTAAATAATAATATTTGTAGATTCATTGATAACATGTCAGGTGACAGAGAAAACATTGACCCAGAAGATTATAAATCAAAAAACGTTTTCATTGCTGAGTAATACTAATAGTAATAATGCTTGTCAGAGCCCTGAAGAAAAATACTTGGGAGAACCATATTTACTCTGCCAGAAAATTTCCTAACAAATTACTAGAGTTGCAACAGTCATTAGAAATAAGTAATATGGGCTTCCCTGGTGGTGCAGTGGTTAAGAATCCGCCTGCCAATGCAGGGGACACAGGTTCGAGCCCTGTTGCAGGAAGATCCCACATGCCGCGGAGCAACTAAGCCCGTGCGCCACAACTACTGAGCCTGCGCTCTAGAGCCCACGAGCCACAACTACTGAGCCCATGTGCCTAGAGCCCGTGCTCTGCAACAATAAGATTTGAATGGCCGCAATGAAAACCTACACACCGCAACCAAGAGTAGCCCCCGCTCACCGCAACTATAGAAAGCCCGCGCACAGCAACGAAGACCCGACACAGCCAAAAAACAAATAAATAAAATAAATCTATATTAAAAAAAAAGAATATATTATGGTAGCACCGCAAGAAGGCTTTACATCAAGAATTCCTTCTGAACATCCAGAGACTAAGTAATATATTGTCTTATTTATACAGGTGCTCTCAGATATAAATGTCAGTCTATAGATCTGAATTACACATATTATCAAAATGATAATCTAATAAAATCCAAGCATCCACAGTCCTATCTATTTTCAGATTTTTGCAAAAAATACTATCAGAATACCACTTTCTGCTGGTTCATATTTATTTGCATTGGCTGTCCAAAGGAAAAGTTTTGTCAACAGTTTATAAACTAAAAGAGAAATTGAAAAAAAATTGGACATTTTTCACTTTGCAGATTTGCTGAAGTATAGGTTTTGGCTTCAAAATAGCTTATTTGATGGAAATTTGCAAAGATTATGGAAAATGTATTCATATGTAATGACAAAGCCAAAATTTCAACTTTAGTAAATTGAGATTAAAATAATTGGCAAGGGATGTGTAGTCAATACCATAATTTGAGTATTTACAAAAACTTATTAAGACCAAGTAACATTTGTGTATTGTTGAGGAAAATCTTCATCAGTATTTGAAATACTTGATTTTTAAAAATACCAATTGGATTTGAAATTTGTTCTTGTATAACAAGAAATTCAAATATATTTATCAATGAAGGAAAAAGAAGAGTTATATTTAAAACATCGATATACCATTGGTGTTTAAAGAGTTTGCATTGTTCAAATTGTGCTCAATGGTATGAAGGAGTCTGTCAAAAAGAGAAAAAGTAATAAATATGTTTTTTCTATTTGCTACCTCCTACTCCTGTGAACAGAGTTTCTCACAGATGATTTCTATCAAGAATGTGAAGAGACCATCATTAAAGAAATCTTGATTAGGATGTATGTGTGGCCAGCAAGCCATAAAACTATCATAAAATGCTATTATGCTAAAGCAAGCTCCAATTTCTCATTTTAAAATGTGAAAAGATTTTATTTGGAAATTGTATACAAACTCAGCATGTAATATTCTCCCTAGCATTTGTGGTTTGCTTTTCTTAGCATATCTATATAAGGTAAAGAAAATACCATATTTTTTTTTTGTATATAAGTGCCAAGTGCCATGTAGAAACCTCCAAAATCCTCCCCAGTTTACTCTGATGTGCTGTACAAATACAATCGTTTTATATGTGACTTGATATGAAAAAGCTTGGGAATAACTGCCCTAGGGGAATGAATTTAACTGATTGTTAGGCAAAGTACAGTAGAGCAATGAAAAGCCCAAGATAACCCAAAAGTCAAAAATATTACTAAGGAGAAAAGTGTGACTTGACATTAGCTCAAATGTGACTTTAGCTCAAGCTGTTTCTTAGGAGATTTAAAGGAGCGTGTGCTCTCCTCAGACATCAGAGTGTAAAGACACTCCAGAAAGCAGCACACCCATCCTCTGCCACATTTCCCTAATGGGGCTCCCAGTGCGCTAATGGTGGAAACCTGTATGGGCATTAGTTGTGGTTTCTTATAAAGACCACGTATAGAAGTTGTCTGAAGTTGTAGTCAATGACTGAATCTTACAGAACTTGAGAGAGTTTGGTATTTGGGAAAATCGCTTCAAAGCTTCACTCTTCTGGCGACTATCTGGGAACAGGAAGGGAAGAAGCATGAATATACTCTTAAAATAACGTACATCAATAAATCAACATTCATACTAAATTCTTTAACTGAGTGGTGATACAGATCAGAATTTCTGTTAACTGTGGAGACACAAAGAATCTTTTAAAAAATATGCTATTTTAAAATCCCATCCAGGAATAGGTCTGAAGTTTTAAATATGTATTCCAATAACTCGTATTTCTTAGGACTTCTGTACTTTTTATCTCATCTACTATTTGAGGATTTTCCAGGTTCAATATTGTGTGCATCAAGTTACCCCATATTCTTGTATTTTTCAGAGAGTCTGAAGAGACAACATAAAATACTTTCCTTTTGATCTAAAATGGCATTTCCTATTTAAGAACAAAAAACCACAAGAAAGTTTTAAGGCTCCTACAACTAATATATTCAAAACCTGTGCAGCTTAAGACTGAACATAAAAAAATTTAAAAAAACTGAACATGATTTCCAGTGAAAGGTTTCCAAACCTACTGGAAAAGGCTGTGTCAAGAGGAATGCCTGTGTGCTTACAAATAACAGCAAAACTCTGGGCTGCGAATAATAACCTATGAGTTATTGAAGGCATGAGAACTTGTAAAAAGCAATTGTAAAGCATTTTGTAAAATATTATTGCCATTCAAATGTTAAATGATGACAACAGAAGCTCTTCAGGGACTGGTAAAAAGCAAACACTGTTGGAAGAGGAACTATAAGGAAAAAGGAAAGAAAACAGAGTGGATATAAAGACCTCATAAATTTAGGAGAGAAAAAAAGACAATTGTGAGTGACAAACGGAGAAGGCTTACCAATTTTATGTCCTATTCCATCAAAATAAATGGCACATTTTTAATTTCAGGGGACTTGAAGCCAAATGGGAGAGTCAAAGTTAATCTCTTAAATGTTTATAGAGACATTTTTCACACATATAAGCAAATATAGAAGAAATATATACTAAGTGATTCTACTATTTTATAAGATTTATAGTACAATTGAATTCTTCTTAGGGAAACAAAGTAGGAAGGATGCATCTTTCTGCATTGTACTAATAAACAATGGAGCAGTCTATATGAAAGATAGAAAGACAAGATGTTCAGCAATCTTCCTTACTCCTCAAAATCAAGGTCTTTGGAAAAGAGCCTTGATAATCGTCTTGTTTCCTAAGAACCAAACCTTCATATAATTATTATTATTAATTATTATAACAATAAATACCCAACAGAGTACATTTAATTCTTCTACTTCTCTTTTGGAGTGGCAAAATCGATGTCATGGGGAACGCTTTCTGAAACTGGTATATTTAACTAAAATGAAGAAAAAAGAAAGGGTCCTTATGTAAATCAAATACAGGTTTTTCCAGTTCTGCAGAAAGGATTCCTTATTCTTTGCCCTATTTGGCACTTGTATGTTCTTAATTATTGCTGTTTGGCCTCTTAGAAAGAGAAAGTGGAATAAAACGTGAATCACACTAGAATGTTTTCTGACTTAACAATAATGAATAGCTTTTTTTTTCTTTTTTAAAGATTAAAATAATAGGAGTAGGGTCAAAAGATTAACTTGATTATCTCTGTTTCACGGGTGTGTTTTTATCCATTTTACAGTGGTCATTTCCAGGAAGCAAGACTTACCGCTCATAGCTAAAGAAGACCAGTTTCTGGAGAAACAAGGTTTGTTCTGTGTTTATGTTGCATATTCCATTTCTTCATGTTTTATAGAGCTCACTTTTGTTTCCTCTGTAGGGCCTGGGTTATCTTGTTTAGATTTTATATTGTCTACATTAAAGGGTGACTGCTGAGTCCTCATTTCCCATACGCTGTGAAGAAAAGGTGAGAAGAAACAGGAGAGGGTATGAAAGAAGCAGAAGAGGGTAAGAGAGAGAAAGAGAGAGAAAAGAATCAAAGAGATTTCCTCCTACGCTGTCTGCCCCTGAAGGAAACATCTGCCTGAATGCTTTACTCTGGGAACGACCTGTTCACATAGTCCAAACTTAGAGGGAAGAAATACAAACTTTCTGAAAATTGAGAAACAAAAGTGAATGGGTAATATTATTTTGCTTCTTCAATATTATGTAAATGTTATAGCTAGAAAAACACATGTGCATATATTTAGGCAGAATTTATAAAGACCAGTGTTCAAATTTCAAGAAATGTGTACTAACTGAAAAGCCACCAATCCACATTGGGGAGCCATGGCGAAGAGGCAGGGACAACGTAGAACAAGGAGAGCATGATGTTTCAGCATCTTTGTCCAATGGAGTCAATTTGTTTGACTCAGATTGGGTTTAATCTCACCCAGTGTTCCTGGACTTACTATTGCAAAGCTTTGTAGAATTCTAAGTGAAGTCTTGCCTTCGTACTCATGGTCCCTTTCTAGCCCTGAAGTTACTCATCTCTAGAGTGAGCTCTGAGGCCCTGAAGCTTGGACACCACTGCTCACGAAGGCCCTGCCTAACCCTGCCTTGTGACAGGACTCTGTAAGTCACCCCACGTATGGCTCTGGGACCTGAGGACTTTCTCTGGAGCAAAAGTCATACCTTCCCTTGGCAGGTGCTTCAGTGTTTAACGATCAATGGCCCTTTCATCTGGATGACTGTTTTTTACAACAGAAAAATATGAATCTGATTTCTTTGAGGAGATAAAATGGATCCTTCTGATGAATGACTACTAAGGAGAGCATGGATTCACAAGTTAGGGAGATTCATGATGTACAGAAAGGGGCCAAATAAATGCCAGATTAGCAAAGGAGATTCATACATCAGAGGGGACTTCAGGCTGGCTTTAGGCCGGGTAATGGGGGCAGTGACCACAAGAGTTTAACTCACATCACAAGGTGTCAATGCCTCCTGAATTCCAGCTATCAAAAAAAGATGACTTTATTTGACAGCAGACAAATTAAAGGGGAAAGGGGGATGGGTAACAAATTATTGTCCAAAACAACCAAACATCTTTGTTGAATCAAAGGAAAACCATTTCAAAAGCCCCTGACTGAGCCCACTAAAGGTCTCCAGAGCCCTGGTCACCTTAGAAATCTGCTTTAAACCTTACGGTTTAAGTTTAATTTATTATTGGGTTTTTAAACCTTACGGTTTACGTTTAATTTATTATTGGGTTGGCCAAAAAGGTCGTTTGGGTTCTTCCATAAGATGGTATGAAAAACCCGAACGAACTTTTTGGCCAAGCCAATATATCCAAACCCACCTCCTCTGCTATCTTTTATCTTGCCATTCTTAATGAAGACAGAACTGCTGCTTCACCAAACCTTTAGTGACAACACATCTTACCCAGAACCACCAAATCAGACATTTGTCTAAAAACATATTGTCTTAGTTCCCAGTTTTACAAGAACAATAGTATTTCAGGAGACAATGGCCTCCTTAAACTAGGAAATTAGTTTACTTCTTCCACAGTGATTTATTGACCCAAGCACATTCATTCAAGGAGGCTACTCACTGGTCTCAGATATCACAAATCCTGGGGGCACCTAAGCTCAAACATTGGTGCTCGAAGAGCAGACCACCCCTTCTGTTCTCAATGAGCTGGTGTTCTCGCCTGCTTTTGAAGATTTTAAAAACACAACAGTAGCTGCTGGTTTCTTTAACTTCCAGGTAAAGAAAGTGGGAACTGAAACCAAAGGGTCAGAAGAGTCTACAAATAGGGGGTTAGTGCATTGCTGGAGGAGGAGGATGGCCAGTGAGTTCATACAAGGTTGAAAGGAAACATTGGGGCTAAATTGATAATAAAGTTAATCTTTCAATTCACTTTTTATTTTCCAAGTTAATAGGACTGATATATGGAAACAATGTAACAAAGTTGTAAGAGTAATCCATTTGTTTTTTTATTTATTAACCCAACCCACTTTTTGTGTCACCCAGAAATTTATGACCCAGACTTGACACCCAAGGAACTTATACTCTTGTTGGGGAGACTGGACTTAGGCTTGAGATACAATGAAAGAGGATTCCAGAGATGGAATTTAATCAGACAAGTGCTGATGACATTGTTTTATTGTGTGCGATCTCCCTGTGCTTTCTTATCCAGAAAGGAACTCCTTCAGCATTTCCTCTTAGATCAAAATTTATATGCCCAGAAGTATTTTTTAGGTGCTTGTGTTCCTCTTTTCATTTCCATCACATTTAGACTATACTGATTTACACTAATACAGTCCAGTGTAAATGAGTGCTCCCTTGTGTTCCATCACAGACCTTCCATACCAATAATTGCTGTTAGTATGCATTGAACAAGTACTGCGTGCAAGGCACTGTCCTGAAAAATGCGCATCTAATTGCAATCCTGTCATTTTGGTATTAGGATCATTCCCATTTTGTAAACAGAAGATTTGAGGCAATTTAGTCATCTGTTCAAGTTCACAGAGCAAGTAAGTGGTAGAGCTGGGAATCCAATCTAGACAGACTACTTCCCAAGCCCACTAGTTTAATCACAACACTGTATTGTTGACTTTTGTGTAATGATGTTTAGGTTAGTCATTTGACATGATTTGTACAGAATAAAGGAGATTGATACGGAATGAGCTTTACCATATCTGATTGATCATTTCAACTCAAATGTCAATTAGGTGCCAAGCATTGGATCAGACACTGGAGATTCAGAAAAGAACCAAATCCAGTCACTGTGTTCATGAATCTCAAAGTGTGGTAGGATCCTCCCAGCTGGAGTGAGAGCGTTAAGGAGTGTAGGTGCAGCACTGTAGGATAGGGAGGGTTGCAGCAGTGAACTCCTCAAATGCCCAACAACGAACTGTCTGAATGAGCATCTGTCTCAGAAACTACAACCCGAGGAAAAGTGGAACAGCCTTCTTCCCCTGCAAGTAGACATACTAAATCTTGGAAAAATGTAGGCACTCCTGGCAAATTAGAGCTACCCATCTGTCTATGAGCTTGCTAATCATTCCAAAGCTAAAATATAACCTCTCAAGAATGTCTCGGATTTATTCATAGGCCAGTTTGGTGAGTCATAAAAAAGAAGCAGCATCTGTATTCAGTCAACCTAGTTGGAATTCACTGAAAGTCTGAAAATACTAGGAAAACTTTCTATCAATGATGAACAATCATGCTCAACATAATAAAAACTCATTACAAAGGAACTGGGGGGGGATGGGAATAAGAAAGGAAGGTGAAGATTAAAGCCAAACCAAAATATGGATAGATTGCTACAAGATTAAGAGGATCTTTGTATTAGAAGTAAAGAAAATTAGTGCAAGTTTGTCCATGGAAAGACAGTGAAAACAAAATTGTCCCTTATGTCAGCCAATTTTGGATTTTCTATTATTTATTACCACTTGGTGATTTATAACAAGAGAAAGGCAATGGAGAAATTGAGAATCATTAGAATGTAATGATGAGTTTCAAAGTCAGCCCCTAATGAAAAGCAGAAATTTTAGAAAATAAAAAAACCCAAATCATATTTGTTTAAAATTTGTAATGACTTCTTTTGAAGTCCACTGAGCTACAGTATGTGCTTACATTGGCTGTTGAGTTATGATTTAAATTTATGCTGTATTTGGGAGGTTAATATTTGTTGACTTATATGGAAGAAATTTAATTGTGGAAAGTTGAGGAAAGAAAAAATGAAAACAATATAGTACTCATTAAAGTTTACTGTATTGTTTTACAAGAAAAGAAATAGGCACATAGTTTCATTCAACTTGGGTAAAATGTATGTGAGCAAAATACACTAAAATGTTAAGAGAGTTATCTCTGCAATGTATCATAACTGCAGGCATTCTTTTTCTTTTTTCTTTGTACTTCACCTGACTTTTCAAAGTTTGTACAATGAGCTAGTACCACTTTTATAATTAAAAACGTCATGTTATTTTAAAATAGACTTGCATCCATGTTCTAGAAGGAATAGATTATATGATGGTAAATTGAACACCTATTAGAATACAAGTGATTAGCAGTATATAACCAGCGTTTACAAAAAGCAAATCAAACTATACAAGCTTAATAACTTCTTTTTGGCTTGCACTGTACGATTCAGCAGATGTTATATTGGAATTTTAGTAAAGGACATAATATGGTCTCCTGAGATTTACTGACAAAAAGAATTTATTTTCTGTTAGGAACAGAGAAGCTGCACTTAGCTGGAAAACAGGGCTGAAATTCTGTAAACAAAAGGAAATAATGACATGATCCAGGGAAGGTGCTAATGAAAGCTGTAGCATCTATCAACAGAAGCCTTAGGGATAAGGGCAGAGCGTAGGTAGCTCATGGGGTATCTAAGGAAGAAAAAGGCACTGGTGGGAAGTAGAACTGGGAATGATGGGAGGAAAAGAAAGCTAATAATTACGTATCTACTTTGTGCAAAGTATGGCACCAGGCTCTTCTCTCCAATTAACAGGTGAGGAAATTAAGAATAACAGAAGCCATTAAATAGGAATACTGATGGATACGTTGACTTATTTCTTTGGTTAAATGTGATCTGAAGAATAAAACCTATTACTAGTTGGAATCTAATTTATAGGAAAAAACACATAGAAATTAGTGGGCTAAACATTGACAGAAGTGTACTAGGTGATGTGAAAGGAAAAACTCTTTTTTTTTTTTTTTTTTTAGCATAGGCGCCTCATATTACACTTAATAACAAAGACACAAGGACAGTTAGCCCCTCTCTCTACAAGTATGGTGATATTCCCGGGGCTTTGTATCTCATTACGAGAGATTTATTCTAGTAAAGAGAGTAAGGTCCATAACAACACTAAAGCAATGCACATGGAGAGCCCGACTAAATGATAATTTGGATGAGTCATAACATATATGAAAAGCATAAGCACTTGGGGAAGATGATGTGGCTGATCTAAACAGGATAAGTAGGATAAGTGGGATAAAAGTATGGGAAAAAAATAGGTCAAATATCAATAAAAAACTTTTCAATAGTGGGAACTATCAAAACCAGAAGATTTGTTCCCAAAGGAAATTCATGATTGTGGAAGATTTAATACTTGAGTGAGTAAACATGAAAGAATAACTAATCGAGAACAGTTCTAAATTTTATGCTTCTATAGATTCATTTGTAAATAAACTATGAACAATGAGGCCTCGTTTATTCATCAGCATCAGGGAACACATTGTTCCAGAGAAGTCAGTTCCCCAGATACTGCAAGCCTCACAACAGGAACAGATTTTTCTTTAATTTCAACCTCTCCAGTGGAGATTTATTTAAACGGAATGACTCAGATCCTTGGCTTCTTAAATATTCCAATCCAGAATTAGGATATGAGATGCCAGAAGTGTGTATGGAAAGGCCTCTGGAACACAGGGTCAGGACAACCAGAGATCCAGTCTTGGTTCACAGAAAGGTGATCTGGAGGTCTTTTACCACTCTGGTCCTTAATTTTATGTATATATATATATATATTTGTAAATAAAAGCACAGGAGAAGATGATCTTTAAAATTTCTTCATCTAAATTCTCTAATTCTGAACATCTGCTACCTAATTGCACTATACAGGCAGACCTCACTTCCTTGTGCTTCGCAGATTCTATGTTTTCCACAAATTGAAGGTTTGTGGCAACCCTGCTTCCATTTTTCCAGCAGCATATGCGCACTTCATGTCTCTGTGTCACATTTTGATAATTCCTGCAATATTTCAAACCTTTTCATTATTATTGTATTTGTTATCGTAATCTGTGATCTTTGATGTTACTATTTTGACACTTTTTAGCAATATTGTATGTTTTAATTAAGATACGAACGTTTTTTAGACGTAATGCTATTGCACACTTGATAGACTACAGGATAGCATAAATGTAACTTTTATACACACTGGGAAACCAAAAAATTCATGTGACTTGCTTTATTGCGAGGTTCACTTTATTGCAGTGGTCTGGAACTGAACCTGCAGTATCTCCAAGGTATGTCTGTAATATTTGTCTCTACATTAAATATTTTAGACACTCTTTTCTGCTAGTGGGCCTTAGCTAAGGCTTTATGTAAGGTGCTACACTCCATCAGTGAATAAAAGGCATGTGCTTGATAGTAACTCTTTTCCTTGGTACTCCAAAGCTTCTCACATGGTTTTTAAAATTATTTTCAGGTTCACAGGTAAATACCTAATATTGAGGCTGCTGGAAGTCTGATTACCAGGTACATGGGTCGAGACTGTATTCCTATTTGGGGAAGGTCAAGTCAGAGGTGAGAATAACTGTTGTTATGCTAACTGTCACTTCTAAGCAGAAGTTTTCAGAGTCAGCCTACTGTTTGCCATGCCCTCGTTTGCTTCTGTCACAATGACTGCACTGGCCCACGTGGAGGTGGCTCCTTCAACTGAGGCCTCTCTCCTGGCTTGCAGATGGCTGCCTTCTCAGTCGTGTCCTCACATGGTCTTCCCTGTGTGTGTGTGTGTGTGTGTGTGTATCCCTGATGTCTCTCTGTGTGTACAAATTTCCTCTTCTTCTAAAGCCACCAGTCAGATTGGATTACAGCCCCCCCGAGGGCCTCATTTCAACCTCCTTAATGGTCCTGTCTCCAAATGCAGTCACATTCTGAAATACTGGGAATTAGGCCTTCAACATATAAATTTGGTGGACACAATTCAGCCCATAACATAATAGAGTCTTGACTTGCTATGAAAAGGAGTTCTAGGCAGAGGAAGCCAAGATAGCAGAGACAGTGGAGAAGGGTCACTCTATACAGCTGTGTATAGAATGAATAGAGGCAGAAAATATGAAAATGGAGCAAGAAGTAGGGCTTTGGGGTTTATTCTGTAGGATCATTGCTCTTCGGTTTTATAGTGGAATCACTTGGGACTTTTAAAAAATGCCATCATCCCAATCCTGTTCACAACCAGTTCTCTCTGAATCTGTAGGAGTGATATTTTAAAAATATCTCACTAGGCAATGTTAACGTGCAACCACATGTAGAAGCCACAGCTATAGAAAGTTGAGATCTAGGAGCCTAATGAGATGAGATTTGTGTTTAGGAAGCTCCCTCTGACTGCAATGAGAAAAATGGGCTGGAAGACCGTGAGGCTGGGGGTAGAGAGGTCAGCTTGGAGGGACTGTTGTAAGAGATGGTGGGGTGTGAACAACACACAGTGATGGGAATGGATAAGGGACAATATGAGATGTGAATAAGGTAGGAGAGAAAGAACTTGATTCCTATTTTAATGTGGGGAATGAGAAAACCAAGAGATTTGTTTATTTTTGGCTTGAGTTAGTGAGTGGAGAGAAATTGAGTTTATTAATAACAAAAATGCAAGAGGAAGATAACATTTTAGGGCAGTGACAACAGGCTCAATTTTGGATTTCTTGGGCTTGAGTTTCTTGTGATGAAGTTCATGGGGCACTGGTATATAGGAGAGAAAGCTGAGCTAAAGGCAGAGAGTTTGGGGTCATCAGTATATGAATCATAGTTGAAGCCATGGGAGTGTGGAAATGGCCTGCAAGAGAGGAGGGCTAAAGACTGCCCCCTGGAACAATAAATGCATGAAGAAGACTGGGAAGACAAACCAGATAGACCAGGGGATGACAGTGACAAAGAAACCAAGAAAGGAATAAGTGGAGGCAAATGCCATGGAAAGATGAAGAAATACCAGCATTGACATGAGTCCATTGGATTTGTTAATCAAGAGGGGATTAGTGATCTTTGCTCCACGATTTTAGTGAAACCTAGTCTTCATTAAAAGACTAGGGGGGGGCTTCCCTGGTGGCGCAGTGGTTGAGAGTCCACCTGCCGATGCAGGGGACACGGGTTCGTGCCCCGGTCCGGGAAGATCCCACGTGCCGCGGAGCAGCTGGGCCCGTGAGCCATGGCCGCTGAGCCTGCGCGTCCGGAGCCTTTGCCCCAAAAGGGGAGGGCCAAAAAAGGTGAGGGCCCGCGGCCCAAAAAAAAAAAAAAAAAAAAAAGACTAGGGGGGCCTAGTCTTAATTGCAAACTGATGAATTTGTGTTGTGTTGGAGTAGATTGAATGAGTGTAAAATATTCTTTGGTGGAGGAGCATGCAAAGTCAGAATGTGGGTAGACTGTTAGAAAAGTTGCAGCCAAAGTAAGAGCGGTCATGAAGATGTAATGAGAAGAAGGGAGTGAAAGGGGCAAAGGCATTGAAGGTTTTACTTGGAGACTGATATAATAAAGTTTAAGATTTCAGAGTGGGGTGAGGTCCAGGCAATGATCATATTTAAAAAAAAAATGTTTGGAATGAGCTGCTAAAACAGAGTGGAAGAGGTCAATGAATTTTGAAGCTAAGTTATTGAATTGATCAACCACACAGAGTCATTGTGATAAAAGGACAATCTGGGCTAGGGGCAGCAGAAGACTGAAAATCAGGTGCTAATGTCATCTATGGAGATACAGATAATATTAATGGTTAGGGGCGAGGTAGACGAGGGCCAAGGTTACTGTGTGGGCCTAACCCGACCAAAGATGAGGGCTGGAGGGGAGGTCCTGGAAGTCCAAGGTAATGTAATAGTGATCAGCCAGGTGCAGACATGGTGATGGGCTTTCAGGATGAAAACAAACAACAGCAACAAAAAGGCAGGCACAAATACATTCAGAGACTAGACTCTCATGTACCTGAGCAGCCTTGAGTTGCTACAGTGAGCAGGTGGAAAATGCAGGTGGAGAGCTGGAAAACGGTAAGGTTTTGCAGGGCCTTATAGGCTAAGCCAAGATTTTAGTTTTTCACCTGAGATCATGGGGGACCATTGCCTGGTTCAAGCAGGAAGGTGACATGGTCAGATCTGAGTTATAAAAAGCTCTTCTGGGGACCATGTGGAGGACGTATTGTTAGGAGTCAGGTTGTAGAGACCAGTTTAGGAACAAATTGTACAAATTCATTTAGAGTCTAGAATAAAACAGGGGTGGTGGAGCTGGGGAAGAGGCAACAGCCTTAGCAGCCAAAATGTAATTGACTTGGTTATGTGGAGAGAGAGGTCGAAGACAGAAGCCAAGCTTCCTCCTATGTCTGTCATCATCAACTCTGTTTACTTAGGTAAGAAATCTTACTCAGAGAACAGACAGACATGGAACTTAACACTTGAGTACCAAACTAGAATGTAGAAGGGCTCAAGGGTAAGCTGGGAGGAAGTGAGAGAGTGGCATGGACATGTATACACTACCAAATGTAAAATAGATAGCTAGTAGGAAGCAGCCACATAGCACAGGGAGATCAGCTGGGTGCTTTGTGACCACCTAGAGGGGTGGGATAGGGAGGGTGGGAGGGAGGGAGACGCGAGAAGAGATATGGGGATATATGTATATGTATAGCTGATTCACTTTGTTATAAAGCAGAAACTAACACACCATTGTAAAGCAATTATACTCCAATAAAGATGTTAAAAAAAAAAAAGAAACATATGGAGAGAGGAGAAGAAAAGGGAGATGAAGAAGTCCTTGTTCTCAAGAAACACATGATGTATATAACTGTCTGGATTTGATGCCCTGTATTCTGATATATATAGTAAAATGTGACATTATTGTTAAAAGTCTCTGTCTTTCAGATATTCTTCAAATTTCATAAATCAGTTTAAAGTAAGTGCTTAGATAATCTTTGGCTGACAAATTTCAGTGATTAATTTATCCCTGCCATTATCACTTGCATTGCTGTTGTTTACTATGTAGTTAGTCAAATGGAAATATAATCATAAACAATAGGAAAAGCAGAATAAAATGTTATATAGAGTTTCTTTTTAAGGGCTTAACTTACACTGAGGAAACCAGAAAGTTGAGTGTGATCTATTGGTATTGTTAATAATCCTGATTCTGTCCCTACTTGAGGAAATAAAACATAGAGTATCTGATTGACTTCATGAAAGATTAAGCACAACCCAAGCATTGACCAGGACATTGATCAGGCTTGAAGGGAATTTATTCAGCTGTGTAAAAGAATAAAGGAGATAGGAAATATGTAAAATTAATGATTTTTTATGTAGGCTTCCTTAGAAATACAGAAATCTATTACTGAAAAAAATATGATTACGACTTGCAAATTCTTTACAGGAGGAAAGCAATTTGAAACAGAGTCCTTCTTTTAGGACTGCAGATATTCCAACTCAGAAACAAAACTGAAACTTTAGCAAAATATTATTTGTTTGAGGAAATTTTCTCCCTTCTTCACTAGAGCCCTTTCCACACATTAAAACTATGAAGGATCATTTCTAATAATCTGGGAAACTTACATAGTATTCTGTTGTTTTTGTTTTTTGTTTTTTTTTGCGGTACGCGGCCCTCTCACTGTTGCGGCCTCTACCGTTGCGGAGCAACAGGCTCCGGATGCGCAGGCTCAGCGGCCATGGCTCACGGGCACAGCCACTCCGCGGCATGTGGGATCTTCCCGGACCGGGGCACGAACCCGTGTCCCCTGCATGGGCAGGCGGACTCTCAACCACTGCGCCACCAGGGAAGCCGAGTTACATAGTATTCTTACATCTTTTTTACAGTATGGACTCATGGTACTTTAGATGCCTCGTGAAGTGATGTGTTCCTGTATTGGAGATGTTCCTAAAAAGGCCAGAGCTCCAGGTAGCACAAGCATCATATGGGAGGCTCTCAAGCTGGGCTGCAAATTAGGGCAGAAGGATCTTCAAGGTAATTTTTATCATTAAAAAACTTATTATGTCATACTTTATAATTTCTCAGTATTTTTGATCCAGCATGTACCTCATAATATTTTTGAAAACAGAAAGCAATCAGATTTAGTAACTATAACATGGATGAAGCTATCAAACACTGTTTAGTGAAAGAAGCCAGACAAAAAGGAATGAATACTGTATGATTCCATTTATATGAAGCCCAAACTGGGCAAAACTAATCTAAATTGTTAGCAGTTGGAAAGTGGTTGCTTGAAGTGGAAATTTACTGGAATGGGCCACATGGGAATGTTTTATAGGGTACTGGGAATGTTCTATAACTTGTTTTGGGTGGTGGTTACACAGGTGGATACAATTGTCTTCAAACTGGAAACAAATTCCCTACATTTTATTGTACGTAAATTATGCCTAATTCTAAAAAATAAGTGCTCAGAGACTCACCTTAGGGTGAGAGACACACACAGACTGAAAGTAAGGAGATGGAAAAAGATATTTCAGGCAAATGTAAATGATGAGAAAGTGGGGGTAGCAATACTCATATGAGAAAAAGTAGACTTTGAAACAGAGGCCATAAAGAAAGACAAAGAAGAGCATTATATAATGATAAAGGGATCAATAGAAGAAGAGGATATTACACTCATTAACATATACACACCCAATGTTGGAGCACCTAAATATATCAAGCAAATACTAACAGACATAAAAGGAGAAATTGATAATAATACAATAGTAGTAGGAGACTTTAACACCCCACTGACATCAATGGACAGACTATCTAGATAGAAAATCAGTAAGGCAACAGAGGTCCTAAATAACACAGTAAACCAGTTTGACTAAATTGATATCTACAGGACACTATATCCAAAAAAAAACCCAGAACGCACATTCTTTTCAAAGGCACATGGAACATTCTCTAGGTTAAACCACATACTAGGTCACAAACCAAGCCTCAACAAATTTAAGAGGATAGAAATTATTTTGTGCATCTCTTCTGACCATAACAGTATGAAACTAGAAATCAACTACAAAAAGAAAAATGGGGGAAAAAAGAACATATGGAGACTAAACAACATGCTACTAAGAAAAACCAATGGGTCACTGATGCAATCAAAGAAGAAATCAAAAAATACCTTAAGACAACTTCACAGATGTCTATGGGAGGCAGCAAAAGCAGTTCTAAGAGAGAAGTTCATAGCAATACAGGCCTTCCTCAAGAAATAAAAATAATTTGAAATAAACAACCTAACCTACCACCTAAAAGAATTAGAAAATGAAGAACAAAGCCCAAAGTCAACAGAAGGAAGGAAATAATAAAGGTAAGAAAGGAAATAATTTAATAGAGATAAAAAACAATAGAAAAGATCATGAAATCAAGACGTGTTTTTTTGAAAAGATAAACAAAATTGGCAGACCTCCAGCCAGGCTCACCAAGAAGAAAAGAGAGAGGACCCAAATAAACAAACTAAGAAATCAAAGAGGAGAAATAATAACCAATACCATATAAATACAAAAAATTATAAGAGAATATTATGAACAGTTATATGCCAACAGACTGGACAACCTGGAAGAAAGGGACAAGTTTCTAAAAACATACAGTGAGAGGCCTGCGTACTGCAAAAAAAAAAAAAAAAAAAAAAAACTCTCTGCAAACAGAAGTCCAGGGCCAGATGGCGTCACTGGGGAATTCTGTCTAACGTGTAAAGAAGAAATTATACCTTGCTTCTCAAACTACTCCAAAAATTTGAAGAGGAGAGACCACTCCAAAATTCATTCTATGAGGTCACCATCACCCTGATACCAAAACCAGACAAAGACACTACAAAAAAAGAAAATTACAAGCCTATATCTTTGGTGAATATAGATGCAAAAGTCCTCAACAAAATATTAACAAACTGAATCCAACAATATATAAAAAGGATCATACACCATGATCAAGTTGGATTTATTCCAGGGTCACAATGATGATTCAACATATGCAAATCAACGTGACACACCACATTAACAAAAGGAAAGACAAAAACCACGTGATCATCTCAATAGATGCAGAAAAAGCATTTGACAAAATTCAACACCCATTCATGATAAAATACTCCCACCAAAGTGGGTATAGAGGGAATATATCTCAACATAATAAAAGCTGTGTACAACAAACCCACAGCCAACATAATACTCAACAGTGAAAAGCTTCCTTCTAAATTCAGGAACAAGACAAGTATGCCCACTCTCACCACTTCTAATCATTGGAAGTCTTAGCCACAGCAATCAGACAATAAAAAGAAATAAAAGGTATCCAAATTGGAAGGCAAGTGGTAAAACTCTCACTATCTACAGATGACATGATACTCTATAAAGAGAATGCTAAAGTCTCCACACAAAAACTATTAGAACTAATGAATTCAATAAAGTTGCAGGATACAAGATTAATGTACAGAAATCTGTTGCTTTTCTTTAATAATGAACTATCAGAAAGGGAAATTAAGAGAGCAATCCTGAGAAAAAAGAAAGCAGAGGTATAACCCTCCCAGACCTCAGATTATACACATAGCTACAGTAATCAAAACAGCATGGTATTGGCACAAAAACAGACATATAGATCAGGGGAACAGAAGAGAGAGTTCAGAAATGAACCCATGCACCTATGGTGGGAGGTAAGACTATACAATAGAGAAAACACAGTCTCTTCAAGAAATGGTGTTGGGAAAGCTGGGCAGCTACATGTAAAAATAAATAAATAAAATTAGAACCTTTCGTCACACCATGTACAAAATAAACTCAAAATGGATTAAAGACCTAAATGTAAGACATGACACCATGAAACTCCTAGATGAGAACATAGGCAAAATGTTCTTGGACATAAATCATAGCAATATTATCTTAGATCAGTCTCCCAAGACAAAAGAAATAAAAGCAAAAATAAACAAATGAGACAATCAAACTTAAAAGCTTTTGCACAGCAAAGGAAACCACCAATAAAATGAAAAGACATTATACAGAATAGGAGAAAGTATTTGAAAAAAATACAAATAACAAGGGGGTAATATCCAAAATATAAAAACAGCTCATACAAATCAATGTCAAAAAAACAAACAACCTGATCATAAAATGGGCAGAAAACCTAAATGACATTTCTCCAAAGAAGACATACAGATGACCAACAGGCACATGAAAAGATGCTCAACACTGCTAATTATTAGAGAAATGCAAATCAAAACCACAATGAGGTATCACGTCACACCTGTCAGAATGGCTGTCTACAAAAATTCTACAAATAATAAATGCTGGAGAGGGTGTGGAGAAAAGGGAACCCTTGTACACTGCCACTGAGAATGAAAACTGGTACAGCTGCTATGGAAAACAGTATGGAGGTTCCTTAAAAAACTAAAAATAGAGCTACAATATGATCCAGCAATTCCACTCCGGGGTATATATCTGGAAAAAAACGAAAACTCTTAATTTGAAAAGATACATGCACCCCAGTGTTCATAGCAGCACTATTTATAGTATCAAAGACACGGAGGCAACCCAAGTGCCCATGAACAGATGAATGGATAGAGAAGATGTGGTATATGTATATACAATGGAATATTACTCAGCCAGAAAAAAGAATGAAATTTGCCATTTGCAGCAACATGGATGGACTCAGAGAACATTATGCTTAGTGAAATAATTCAGACAGAGAAAGACAAATACTATGTGATATCACTTATAATTATACAAATGAATGTATATAAAAAACAGAAACAGACTGACAGACATAGAAAACAAACTTACGGTTGCCAAGGTGGAAAGGGAGAGTGAGAGGGACAAATTAGTAGTATGGAATTGACAGATACAAACTATTATACATAAAATAGATAAGCAATAAAGATTTACTGTATAGCACAGGAAATTATACTCAGTATCTTATAATAACCTATAATGGAATATAATATGCAAAAAAAAAAGCTGAATCACTATGTCATACAGCTGAAACTAACACAATATTGTAAATCAACTATACTTCAAATTAAAAAAAATGTGCTCATAAAAAATCATCAATCTTAAAACATCTTTAAAATATTTTATCTCATGTTAACATACAGCATAGGATCAAAGCAGGTTAAACATAACACATAAATGCCTATTTTCTAAAATTCTAAGAAGTTATTTGCTAAAATTATTTTTTTTCTTATATCCAAAATCCAGGAACATATAACTGCTGACTGCCCACTGATATAAATACAAAAAAATTAAGAAAGGGTTTATTTTTTGGTATCTAGCTTTGTATCAGCTTGCGTACTCAGGAGATATTTTTTATGCTGTGAGAATCACCTATTTTTACTTTGAAGGAATCTGTCTTGTCAGTTTGCAAATCCTAAGCGTGAACATAAGCAAAATACTGGTTCCTCCCTGATAGGCCCAGTGTCAATCCAGGGCAGAGAGTTTCTTTGTTACAGGTATTTTTGTAACAAGAAAAGAGTAACAGCCAAAGAGGAATAGGCCTTGAGGTAATGGGACAGAGTTTTTCAGGCGCTTCCTAATCCAGAATGTATTCTAATTCCATCCAGAATCAGAGAGGTACAGGAAACTCCTCCTGGCACAGTGCAGATGAAAGATCATTTCACAGAGCACAGGGGAGAGGGTGATGGGATGCTCATAACGCCTGCACTGGATCCATTGCCTGTACTCAGTGATAGCAGCTGGGCCCCAAAATAAAAATGACAAAACTGCAGAGCAGAACCCTGTGTATTTGTGGTAGAAGGCCTATTCTTTAAACCCTGAACATGAAGAAATTGCAGTCCAAGAGACTTTCTGTATAATCAGAAACAATTCTGCTACCAGATGGAACACAGAATGGACCAGAGTGGGATACACAGGTGCACAGCACATATAGAAGACCCAAAGGTGGGACAATCGAAGAATGCAAAGGTATAAATTAGGGCAGACAGGAAATTTGCTTCTAAGAACTTTACCCTAGGTTTTCATAGACCAATTGGTCACTAACACCAGACTAACACCATAGTTTACACCTGAAGATTATTTGTTACTATACATAATTTATTCCATAGATGGAACATCATTCTCTTGCTTAATTATTTTCTTATCCTTGTAATATGCCTTGAACTAATATAACCACTATAGCAACAATCAGGAAGATGACCTGCTTTGATAGTACTTTGCATTTACTATTTTGGAGCCCCGAGTCAGAATCCCTTAAATGAGAATATAGGACGAAATCAGACCATGTGAGGCTCTGTTAGTAGCAGTATGTTTGTTCAATATGTTTTTGACTTTCTGAGCAGAGGCATAAGGATACTGAAAGGTAAGTTCCTAAACATTTCCACCAGCAGATTTTTGACCATTTTTATATTCTTACCTTTGTCAGTAAAGTAAACATACTTCATAAATGCATGATTGTCATTTTCCTAACACCTAATGTTGTTTTGCTAAATATACATCTATAAATGACTGTTTATATTAGCCCTTAAGTATATGTAAAGACTCATACAGGACTACCTGTCTTTCCAAGTAGAGGCTAACAGTCTTGAATTAAATCAGGACAGTGTAAACAGGATGGCATATAAAGTGTGAGCCAATATACGGAGGACAAAATATGTATGAAGGATAACTGATTAATAAAACATGGCTGGCCTTGATTTCGTTTATAAGAAACTTAAGACATTTATCAACATCTGTCTGAACCCAGCTCCAGTCTCTTGGACTCTGTTGTGGATAAGCTGATTAATAAAAGATGATGCCTTAGGAAGGAAGCTTAGATCTTTGTAAGCAATGACAAAGGAAAAGGCAAGGCTGAATCTACATATGAAAGGAAATTGTGAAAGTAAACTAGTTTACCACTAAATGCCTGGCTGCCACTTCCCTATAACATTTCATTTCCCTCATATTGTCTCAAGTCTGGAGAAATAGGAAGGAATTTCAAAAATTAAGTGTGGAATTAATTTACAAGACAGATTATGGGTTTTTTGTGCTTTTTTTTTTTTTTTTTTTTTAACTCTGAAATATAATCTGGTTCCCTTGTGGCTTCCCCCTCTTGGTGTTCTTAACTTTGCAGCTTTCCATGTTTGTTTTTCATTTGTATACTTGATCTTTTAGGCTTTCCTTTCCTCTTGGCTAGAATAAAGCACCAGGACTGAACAAGTGCCTCCCTTTACCAGCTGGCAGACTGTTGCCCAATAAATGTTGCCCTTAGGAAACCATCAGCCCTGTGTTCCATCTTCCAGCTAGCCATTCCTCGAATCATCTCCTATCCAGCACATTTAATTCACATCTGGTCACTTTGGGATTTCTTCATTTAACATCCATGACCCCGGACTTGGAGGTCAAACAGAATAGTAAATGCAGTAGTGCCTGGAAATAAACATCTCTGCCAAAACATCGCATTATCTCCTAAATGTCCAGGAAAAATCACTACATAACACAGAGGAGGAAGGGGTCTAAAATTTTAGAAGAAGGTACCGTGGGTTACAGAGGGAATTAGAATCATCACATTTTTTAATGCTCTCTATGAAAATAAATGCCTTCCTCAATACTTAAGGAAGCACAAAAAGTAAAGTTACATGATCAGCACATTTCATTAATAATGGTCAAACAATAAACTTGAGAAAATTATAAACTCTTTTGATCTCACGTCGTTACAGGACATCAAAGCACTGGTTGCTCTGACAGCAGACTTCAATGTCTGAAACTCAGTTTTATGGCTGTGTCTAGAGTCTAGGTTAGATATTCAGAGTCCAAACAGATAATCTGAAGACGAAAAGTGGAGGAGATGGGGGTTAATGCTGAGGGTGGGTCCACTGAAGACTTGGTGGTCATACATCACCTGGGCCATTTATATTCACCTACCTAACTGGATAGTCCCACAATTACAACTCTTCTTTGCGCTGTATAAAATTACTTGGGTCAAAGTAACTGTATATCAGTAAAAACAGAAGCAAAGGACTGGAAGAACACAAAGAAAAATATTCTGATCTACCCTTAGAAACAGAGGTCTGAGAACATCTTGATGTTCTGCTGATCAGGTTGTAGGACTTATCTCCCAACACCAAAGACTCTAATTTATATATACAACTTTCACTTATATATAAATTTAAAAGACATGAAGAAGAAGCAGCCAAAAATCTCACCAGGGGGATTATAGGAATCACTGTTGCAAAACTGATTTATAAATCAATCTAAGGAGTCAAACAACCCCAGCGCAAGAGGAGGGCCGGAAGCCTGGCTGCCAGTGTCCGCTGTGGGGAGGTTTTGCTATTTTTGATATCCTTATTCCCTGGTTAACTGCAAGTTGTCCAAGAATTCTTTTTCTAAGACTGTTTTTGTAATCTAAAACAGTCCTTCACACAAATCAGTAACTTGCCATGCCAATCCTGAGAACATGATAAATGTTAAACAATTAAAACTAAATAAATGATTTGTTTAGCCATTTGAGTATGTGTGTATATGCATGTGTATGCACTTGTATATGTGTATACAGTCCATATGTATATATGTGCATGTATATATACTCATATATTTGAGAAACTACAATGATAGTTCATATGTATGTTACCTGAAATTAACAGCATTCAGTGACAGTTGTGAAGGAGCCTGTATACTTTTGCTTTTTCTTTTGGAGGGGTGTGTGTGTGTTCTTGTTTGAGCAGTTGCTGACAGGAGCTGGGGACCTGAGACTGATAAAGCTGCAGGAGGGCTGTGCAGGCATAACCTTTACTTCAAGCAGGAAAACCACCATAAAAAAAAAGAAATTGGGCTGGGCTGGGCAAAGCTGGAAGCAGGACTGTCCGGGAATGTCAGACATGTGGTATTATTTAAGGCTGAATCCCCCAGGGCTGGGAACGGTACTGCTGTTGGGATATTGTGCTCTGCAGCGATCGCCCTGGTGGGGAATGGGGTCGGAGCTGAGACCGCACTCTTGTGGGTGAGAGGTCAGATTTCCCCTGAAGGGAGGGGTGTTTGCGCTCCCAGGCATCGTGGGAAGAGTCGGATCCTGGGTCGGGAAATAGGGACTCAGAAAAGTCTTAAACAGCATATTCCTTGCAGACCGAGATGGGTCCCCTCTGTGTCTGTCAGTGTTGTTCATGCTGGATCAGAAGCAATAGTGAACGTTCTGTGATTCTGACGGATGCTCAATTCCAGGGCTCCTGCCCACAAACTGCACACGGTGAACACCTAAGTCACTTGCTGCTTTGCTTATTCCTGAAGGTCTGTGAGAGGCCCTGCAGCATGTCTGGCTTCCTCAAGGTATCTAGGGCGTAGTGGGTGGACACGCATTAACTTGGGTTGACTTGGGTTCAAGTTCTCCAGAAACCACTTATTTGCATTTCTTCACCAAACCACTACTGTGCCCTCCATCTATTCATTGGTAAAAGGGAAAAAATAATAACTTGTCTTTTCTATTTTCCAAGGATCTGATGAGGATGAAATAAAAGAAAGAATGTGAAAGTGATCCATAAACCATTATTTATTCCCATACACTCCTGCCTCAGGCCCTTTGCACTAGTGGTTTCTCTGCCTGAAATCCTCTTATATCCTAATGGTTGTACCCTTACTTTCTTCAAGTGTCTGCCAACTGTCATTTCATCAGAGAGCACTTCTCTGGCTGCTTTGTATAAAATAGTGATCTTCCTGACTCCACTGCTTTTGACACTTGTCCTAACCCTGCTTTATTTTTCTCCAGAGCCCTTGCCACCATCTGACATATATTTTTGTATATTCTTCAATTGACTCCATAAAGAGGAGGATTTTGGGCTGTTTATTCACTGCTATCTCCCTAAGGTCTACAACAGTGCCTGACACATAGTAAGCACTTAATAAATATTGTTGAATGAATGAATGAAATGATTCATTGCAAGATATTATTAGAGTTGCCCAAGTCTCCACAATATAAATATACCCCAAAGTTACAGAGGAATCATTTCCCATCATTCTTGTCCAAATGCTGTTGCATTGTACAAACTACTGAGAGGCCTGGGATGAAACTCAAAATTGTCTCCAAGCTTTTAGATATTTTTCCTGGCCTGGCTCATTTTGAAGTATGACTGTGAAAGCCTCAAATTTATGTGTGGCTTTTTCCTCTTTTTTTTTGCGGTACGTGGGCCTCTCACTGTTGTGGCCTCTCCCGTTGCGGAGCACAGGCTCTGGACGCGCAGGCTCAGTGGCCATGGCTCACGGGCACAGCCGCTCCATGGCACGTGGGATCTTCCCGGACCAGGGCACGAACCCGTATCCCCTGCATCGGCAGGCAGACTCTCAACCACTGCGCCACCAGGGAAGCCCCATAATTTACTTTTTATTTGCATGTATTGTTTGTTGTCTGACTCCCTCCTGCTAGAACAATAGCTCCATGAGAGTAGAGATTGCTTTTTTTTTTTTTTTTTTCTCATTTCTGCACTCCAAGGATCAAGGGCAGGACTAGGCCCAGAGAAAGTGGTCAATAAATAGTGTTGAAGAAACAAATTGACTTTAAAGATGAGTGAGGTGATTTGCATATTGCTGGCTTTCCTTGTCCTGACTAGTAATTGTAGGCTTTCTGAAATCCTAATTCTTTGTAAAATGTATGGCATCTAATTTGCTTCTCTTTCCTTCACAGAAACATGATGCTACTGAATAATACTTCAATTCCAGGAGCATGAACTGAAAACCTCCTAGGAATCAGGCAGTCCTACATAGTCCCTGACTTTAAGAACACAGACAGAAACGTAAGCAAATAAATTATAATTCAGTATCATAACAACAATAGTGGAAGCATACTCAAAGTAAAGAGACAGCCCGGGGGAAGAGATCTGGAATCTTCACGTGGGATGGGAGAAGGTTTTCAAGGAAGCCTTCCCAGAAGAGGTGCTATTAAAGCGGAACAGGGGTTTCTCAAGATGAATCAGACTTGGAAATAGACAAGCAAAGTAAGGAAAGTCATTCCAGGCAGAGGGAACAGCATGAATGAAGCCATCAAGCAGTGTGGTACCTATGGGGATCTATAAGTTCAGTATTGCTGTTCCACAAAATGCAAGGTAATTGGTTCCTTTTGGGAAAATAACAATAACGATAGCCTATACACAGGGTGCTTTCCACATGCCAGGCAGTGTTCTAAGTCTTTATACATTAGCACGTTCAATCTTCCCAGCAACCCTGGAACATAGGCACTATTATTATTCCTATTTTGTAGATGGAAAAACTGAGGCACAGAGAGATTACTATATAAGATGATAATACTGCACAGGTTCTAAGGAAATAGTATATATTTTTTCTTTCTATTAAATCATTTTTTTTTTGAATTTTATTTTTTTTTATACAGCAGGTTCTTATTAGTTATCCATTTTATACATATTAGTGTATATATGTCAATCCCAATCTCCCCATTTTTTGTTTTCTTAAAGCAACTATTTTAAAAAGTCTGGTCTAGCTGTCCAGGACTGATATACTCAGAGGAGAGCAAGAAAGAGTAATTGGTGATTAAAGGAAGAGAGAGGTTTTTTTAAAAAAAATCTTTGAAAATAGTGTCACTTAAAGTAAAACAATTGTGGTAGTGGTGTTGTCTTAGTTCCTTAAGGATTTTTAGTGCACATAAATAGAAAGGATAAATAATTCTTATGTGATTAGTAAGCAAAAAAGAGTATGAAAAGCAGAAATAAGTATGTATGCTTTTTAATACTTTACAGAAATATTAAAACTTTATAAAGGCCCACTGGATATTTATTTTCCCTCCTCCAGTAACAGTCTTAAATAAATATAATTACTTTTGGACAATAAAGTGCTTCAAAGTCGTATACTGAAAACCAATAAAAAATACCAGTCACTTGGAAGAGGTCCTGTTTGGAGGCTGACCTGGCCCTTACACAGCAGAGTCAGAAGGTGAAAGGTTAAAAGTGCATACTTGATCTTAGACTGAACATAAAGTGTAAACTCCGGGTTTGTTTTTTTTTAAGCCAAAAGTAGTTTTATTTCCTTCTCTCTTTTTTTTTTTAAAGTTAATTAGCCACCAGTGTGGACAGTCTTAAGGATCTAAGTCAATTAGGACACTTCGTACATAACTTTTCCAAGCTGAAGCCGCATGCCCTTTGCATTTATAGCTGATGTACTCTGGATAAAATCTCTTTGCAAGGAACAATAAAAGGCTGAATGATGGAGACCATGAGCTTAGGGTTGATGTCATAAAAGAAGTTCTCAGTATTTTGGCACTTCCCTTCTGATGTGAAGTGTGTTATTCTCATTTGGCAGGCGGTGGCCAAGTGGAATAAGAAAGCGCGTGCTAAGCCACCGCAGCTCTAAAGTGACAGCAAAAGGCATCTGCTGCATTTCCCATTTGGATTCTGCAGCCCCTTTGATTCACACCCAGTTTTTTCAGATTAGATCTCTGCCATTTTACTTATATATGTCACTACCACATTCAATTCACACATTATAACCTGCCACACAGCGTAGCTTTTCTTATCCTTATAGATGCAAATGACAGTATTTGACTGTTTTATCTTTAGAATTATTTAGTATCTCCCAACAATCAGGATCATTTCTTTTCTTATACTTTGTTGAAGTATGATTGACATGAAAAGTTGTACAAATGAACTTACTTACAAAACAGAAATAGAGCCATAGATGTACAAAATAAACTTATGGTTACCAAGAGGGAAGTGGGGGGGAGGGATAAATTGGGAGATTGGGATTGACATATATACACTACTGTATATAAAATAGATAACTAATAAGAACCTACTGTATAGCAGGGTGAACTCTACTCAGTACTCTGTAATGACCTATATGGGAAAAGAATCTAAATTATGTATAACTGATTCACTTAGCTGTGAATCAGTTGTGTGTTAACAAAATCAGCTGTTGTGTTAGCAGAAACTAACACAACACTGTAAATCAACTATACTCCAATAAAAATTAATTTAAAAAATAAATAAAATGACCTATGTGGTGTTCTACCTCTCCAAAAAAACAGTTATACATACTTAATGTGTACAACCTGATGAGTTTGGAAATAAGTATACACCCATGAAACCAGCACCACAATCTATGCTATACATGTCACCTCCAAAAGTTTACTCCCGTCCTCTTTATTATTATTATTATTTAGTGATAAGACAATTAACGTAAGATCTACTCTCTTAGCAAATTTTCAAGTATACAATATGGTGTTGTTATACCATATTGTATATGTATACGTATACACTCTATGCTGTGCAGTAGATCTCTAGGACCTTATTCATCTTGTATAACTGAAACTTGCTGCTTTTTGACTAATACCTCCTCTCTCCGCTCTCCCAACCCCTGGTAACCACAGGATCTTTTCATAATGAGCGCTTGCTGCTCTATTTTTAATACTACCAACATTTCCATTTAAAGGAGGAGACAAGCTTCTCTTATAGCACAGAGTCCTACATTTCTAAGTTTAATTTATATTTACGAATATAGATTTACATATACATGTGTATTTTGAGAGCTATTTCAGAGGAAGAGTTGACAAGTCTTAATGACTAATTGGGAGGTGAGGGAAAAGGGAGAATTCGAAAACAGTCCTGAGGTTTCTGGCTTGAGCAAATCTGTGAATGGTGATGCCTTTCAAAGCCCAAATGGACCGGGGCCCATTTGAATACACTGGGCTTGAGGGTCTGTGGGATGTCCAGGTGGAAAGGGCCAGTGGGTGGTTGGATGTTTGGCTTTGAAGCTCAGGATGGGTTTGGGCTGAAGATAAGGCGCAGGGGTCGTCAGCATCAAGGAGGCAATGGAAGACAAAGATGTAGGTGAGCTCATCAATCAGAACAAGTAGAATTTGAAGAGAAGACAACATCCTAAGGAGGCCCAATGTTTGAGGAGCTCTAGTGGAAGAGAAGTCACAGATGGACTGAGAAGGAACATCCAGAGGGGACAAGAGGAAAATAAGGAGAGTACAGGGCCCTAGAAGCAAAAGAAAGGCCACAGGTCAAGGAGCCAAGGGGGCTCAACAGCCACGGGGTCACAAAAGATCATAACTGCAAAGTCACCTTTGGATTTAGCAATGATGACATCAGCGACCTTGATAGGATCACTTGCAGTTGATAAGTTGGGGATCATCCCATTATAATAATAGAAACAATCATCTTAAATTGATGACATGGATCTTTAGAAATTTGCAAAGAACATTTACACGCCTCATTTCATGCTCATAATACTCTTGTTAATTAGATGACTGCTTCCATTACATAAATGAGAGAATTAGAAAGTCAAGTAATTATATAATAATAAAACAATAATAATTAAAATGGTCTTTCTAAAACATTTACTGTGTGCAAAACATTGTGCTAAACATTTACTTTGCATAAAAAGATTGCAATGTAGATTTTATTAACTCAATTTAAGGAAGGTCCAGAGAAGTGTGGTAACTTTTCCAGGCTCACACAGCTAGGAAATGGCAGAATGGGGCTTTGAACTCAGATCTGTGGGGTGCTGAAGTACAAATTCTTTCCACTATTAAAGACTGCCTCACCAGATGTTCAGGTTTTCAGGCAAATATCACTTTAAAATTTTTTCTTGAGGGCTCCCCTGGTGGTGCAGTGGTTGAGAGTCCGCCTGCCGATGCAGGGGACATGGGTTCGTGCCCCGGTCTGGGAAGATCCCACATGACGCGGAGTGGCTGGGCCCGTGAGCCATGGCTGCTGAGCCTGCACATCTGGAGCCTGTGCTCCGCAACGGGAGAGGCCACAACAGTGAGAGGCCCGCATACCGCAAAAAAAAAGAAAAAAATTTTCTTGAACATCGATACGTATTCTTGAAAACACTGACAGAAATCCAACTTTGCAAACTGAATTATTTCCCTTCTTGTTTATGTAATAATTTAAAAGATGTGTCTTCCATGGGAGGGAAATTCACTTTAAACATAGTATTTGGCTGCACAGAAATCATACATTGAAGGTAAAATGTTAACCTCTGTAATAAAATATTAACCACAGGATTCCATAATGCAAATGCTATACAGAAGACAGTGCTGGATTCCACAAGTAGAGAGGAGCCCCTTGAGGTAAGGAAGGAAAGAATGCTGCCCTGTTGGAGAAAATTCTGAGGGAAAATTTGCTTCCAAGGTGGTAGCTCAGACAAACCTTCTGTATCTTTTTCTTCCACTTGACAAATATCTGACATTTTTTGTTTTAGTAGTGAAGCTGCAAGTGCCTAGCATTCAATTTCTACCACATTAATGATAAAACATGAACTATATTTTAGATTTTAGAAACAAATATATATATTGTATATATATGATTTTTTCTTCTAATAAGCTAATCAGTTGGTGAGAAATTAAAGCTAAGTTTGGACCTATGTGGTGTGTGTATGTGATTCATTCCATAATTCTTCAACTTTTCTGTATGTTTTTAAAATTTTCCTAATAGAATGTTATTAAAAAAAAATTAAAAGGAAGAAAAGAAAAAACACCAAAGCACCAGGAATGTAATAAGCTGTAGGTCCAGGAAAGAAAGTTTACTCTATGAATATAACTGAGTTGTCTCTCCAAAGTACTCAATTGTCTTCATTTCAGCAATATTGAGTTATTTTATGAGAAAGTTTAGATCCAGATAGAACTAAAATAAAGCTGATTTCTGTCAACTAATTTGTCTCCATAACAAAGTTACCAAAGCTTTCACATTTCTCTCGTTTTATTTCCATTTCCAGGAAATCATGAAAAGTATGGCACTGGTTCATAGAAGTTTTAGAATATAAATTGAATTTATAGTTAGTAAATGAGTTATGATATAAGCTAATTTTAAAGCAAACTGACTTTATAATTTTATTTTTAATCAGGAAGTACGGTAATCTTATGACCTAAAGTTCGGAGAAAAGAGAAAAAAATAAAATCCTCCTCCTTAAATACAATGGTTATAATTTTTATATATTTTTTCTGGTCCTTTATTTCCTAAAGATGCTTTTAAATAGTTGCAAACATACAGGTTTAGACCCTGCTTTTTTCACTTAGTGTTATATATTAAGTGTTTTTCTATGTCAACATATTTAACATATTAAAGGTTGCATAACCCTTTACTATTATAAACAGTGCTGTGATGAATCTTCAACTGTATGGCTTGTTTTACATTTTGGATTAGATTGCTGGAAGTGGAATTACTGGGTCAAAGAGCAAGAAATTTTAATAGCTCTGTATATTAATAAATTGCTTTCCAAAAGTGTTGTACTAATTTATATTGTAAATGTAATGTAGAAAGTCATCTTTGCCAGCAGTGAGTATTATAACTCCTCAAAGTTTGCAAAGGACTGGCCCTTATTGTTTGCATTTGTATTTCTATAAAATATTTTAAAGCAGACTCCTTCTGCCTACCATGTGAGTTGACAAGCAGGAAGTATGACAGTCAGTGGATTTCATGATCCTTCTGGTTATAATTAAGTGTTTCCCTATTGCCCACCACAGCAAATTCAAATTCCGAGCTCTTGTCTTCAAAGTCCTGGACCCATTCTCCGCCTCCTGTCCTGTCTTGACAGCTCCCTCCCAATGTGTCTCAAAGTTCGCTGAGAATGATCACCTGGGCTGCTTGGTAAACACACACATGAAGGCTCTGAGCCCCACTGGATGCCCCTGAGGGTGGGGAGCCCGTATATTACCCTCTGCATTTGTTTCTTCGTGAATCTCCTTGGCTTCCTTTCTTTTATAGATTTTTATGCCAGGAATAGTCAGATTAAATTCAAAACTCATTTAGGAGACTATTTTCCCCAGGAAGTCTGCATAGATTAGGCAAGAAACGAATTCAATATTAGTACTAAAGTGATGAAATACAGCTAAAAGTGAATGATGATGGTCTTTGCCATCTGAAAACATACTTCGTTCTTAACTATGGAAGAAATAGAGCTATTCCAGTGGGGGACCCAGGTGGCTGGATGGTCCTGCTCTAAGCAGATTGACTCACCCCTAGAGGGAGAAACAGAAAAGTCCATGTGAAGAGAGGGTTAGATATGCTGGAGACCACTGGTGAAGGCGGGGTGGGCTGGAGTGTGAGGGTCAACCTTTGAGAAAGTCAAGGCAGCTTGAATGGGAAAGTAGGGACTTACCAGGTCTAGGAGGGTCCCCAGTTCTTCAGATCAACGTAGGGAAATATTTTCTTCATTTCTGTTGTTATGACTATTTCAGTCTCAGGCTGATGAAGCCAAGAAAAAGACCTGTCATGTAGCATAATAACTACAATATTCACGATGTCACAGATAATATTTTTAAGTACGCATAGTGTGCCTGGCATGGTGCTAAGTTCTTTTCGTATGATACCCTCGTGCCACCACCTCGCACATGAAGTAGGCCCTGATATGATCCTTGCCGGGTTACAGAATAATAAATGATCCTGAAGTCACCTTGCAAACATCCAAACATCTTGGTCCTTTCGTTGGCTGTTTTCTTATATGGGATTGTAAATTCCCCAAGGTTGTCAACCATGTCTTCTATGGTTGACATCGATAGACGTGTCTTCCATGTCTTCAAGTACTCACAGGAGGCAGGGCTGGAGACACAGCCCAATCAGGTAGCTGCTCGACATATGAACTGAACTATAATGAAAGAAAAAGAATGCTTAAAAGATCTCTTGGGATTTTCTATTAAAAGATTTTTCTTAACAAATTACAAAATAGGTTTCTTCAAAAACCACCATAATTATCTGGGCCGTCTTCCTGCCCCCTCCTCCCACCCCTTGCCCAGCAAACCCTTGGAAGTTCCTTTTCCTTTTGGGTCCAGGTTAAAACCGAGCAATTCAAATTATCAACCACTAGGCTTTTATTTTTCCAGACAATTGGCAAAGGCCTCAGAGTCAGTAAACAATATTGTTTCTATTCCCTTGAAGTAAGCACATATTTTAAAATGCAAACTTGGATGCATTTTACATAGGTCAAATCTTGGTCAAAATGATTGAATGGCTTGATTCCCACCTCTCATGTTGATGAGTGGAGGCCCATCATTGAGCTAAAACATCACACATGCTCAGGTCTTAGAAGGCCCCCAGGAGGCCCAAGTCGGTGTCGGCACAACACATTTTTTCAGCTTGAATTACGTGTTTGGGCTTAGATCCGTATTTCCTATTAAAGCTACTGGAGGAGAGCAAATGAGTAAGAACTCTGACAAACCCACTTCGCCCCAGCTGGGTGCTGGCAGCCCTTCTCCAGCTCCCAAAGACAAGGAATGGCTCTCTCCACCTCCCACCCTCCAAGGCAGAACAGCGCTCTGTGCCTGCTGTTCAAAGCCTCCATTTCGCAGGTCCAAAATCAGGCTATGGAATAAAACTAGGAAGGTTTTCATGGCTCTGCTGTGGATGTCAGAAACTTGGGTAAAAGACTAAGAAAGCCCACACTACATCCATTCCTAAAGGCTTGAAGGCATCACCCACGTGAAAGGCAGCCAAGGAGACCCTGTCCAGGGTTTGAGGCTGATTCTCTTCCTTCTCACTGGACTGGGATGCCGAATGAAGGCTTAAAACGCAAAGGAGCCTGGGTTTCCTTCCGTGGACCACAAAAAAGACCTGTGCCTTAAAAGAAAAACGTAAATGAAGCAAGAGGAAGTTTTAGCCCAGCAAGATGATGTAAAGGCTCCCTTTTCCAGCTCCCAGGAAACCCTGTAAAGGTATGAGAGAGGCTCCCTCCTGTGCATTTCTTAAAAGTTGTTGTTCTCCCAGATTCTCCCTCTTAGAGCTTGAAACTGAAATGTCTTCCGCCGATGATGACATAACATTGAGCTTCTATTTCTAAAGAAATCCAAAGTGAGCTTGTTACGAATCAGGGTATGCTGCTTAGGTAACGCTGCTGACATTTCCTGCCAAGTCTACCTTAAACCGTATTTTAAGGGCAATTGATTCTAAGGGCATTGATAATGATAAAGAAAAAAAGAAAAAGCTATTTTTTAATTGAAGAAGAGGTCCATTATTTTGGGAGCTAGTCAAGTTCTTGGAAGACTTACACCTACACACCTAGGAGCGGCTCTGACTCCTTCTACTTGGCTCTCTCCTTGTTCCTCCTGGCTCCTTAACAATCTTTATCCACTCCCAGTTTGCGGTTGTTTTATCCCCAGCTAAGAAACAATGCACTTCCATATGCCACACTCCCCAACCCCAGCTCTGACCTTAGAAATGACCCAAAGTTGATCCTGATACTCCACATACAACCGATGAGAGAAAGTGGCTTTCTAGAGATTGGAATATCCATAGTAGAATGAGACAACAGTGCCAGAAAAGTTGAATCCTATGTACAAATCTGTAGCACCACGCTGGCCATGCAGTGTGTCAAGGGCACCTGTCAGCAACTGCTAGAAATGCTTTTCAAGCCTCCTATAAATTTCAATAAGAGAAAAATAAACTGACAAACTCCAAACATTAATTTTAATTTAAAAATTTGTTTCTACTTCACTGTTTGGCTCTGTTTTATTTCGTTGAATTTTGGTGTGGAAAGGACGCTAAGAGGACAACTGATGTCCTCTTCCACTTTGTGAACAAGGAAACCAAGCCACCAAGCACTGTCCTATGGTGGCCACAGAACTTATTCATGTCAGAGTTACAACTTGAAGGCCCAATGCTTTGCTAATTTCTATTTTTTACTTTTTAAACAACACCAGAATAGGAGTAAAAGCTCTCTTTTACTCCCATTACAAAACATATGTTTAATTTTTAAGATAAATTTATATTTCTGAGTTTGTATTTCTAAGCCCCCTTTTTCCCCCAGATATCTTTTTTCTTCAACATTTTTCTCTGTTTCCTAATACTCTTGGTATCTTCAGCCTTTTAATTTTTCTGATTTTTCCCCCTGCATTTGATCTTTAATCCCCTTGGTTCTCTCTCTCTCTCTCTGTCTCTCTCTCTCTCTCTCATCTACTTCTATAATCCATTTGTGTGCATCACTTTCCTTCCTCAACATTTTCTTATATCTCATTCGTATTTTCTCTTTATTCTTTTTAAACTTCTTTCCGGAACCTCTACCTCTCCCCCTGTATTCCTTTTCATCTTGTTTCCATCTGTATTCCTTCCTTCTTGAATGCTGTTCTATTAGACCATTTTTAACCCTTTCTTCATTTTTTATCTCCTCCTTTTTTGTCCTGTTTCAACATGACCTCTGTTTCACTGCCCTTTCCACACAGCAATGAAGGATATGTGACTGAGTGTGAGTGCGTGCGCGCGTGCACACATGCATTTAGAATTACTTGGGGTAGGGGTGGAGAAAAGGGGAGAAGAGATTGAGGGAGACACCAAAGAATGTGTTCATAGAAGGAGAAATGCTTTGCTTATTCTCTCCCTGGGGACGTTAATCAGAGAGTTTCGTTTCTAATGCCCGTTTAATAAATACAAGTTATGTACATATGTTTCCTATATAAAAGTATCCTGAATCAGTACTGTATGTGTGAAATGTTTCAATTTTCCTAAAATATTCTAAAACTTATTCCAGATCCATTGTACAAATAGCTAAGGAGGAACGGGATTGCTTTCTGAGTTTCATTTGGACCTATTTCAAGTGTAATAAACACATGTTAAGATTATGTTTTGAACATCACAGAAATGTTTATCAACTATTTTGAGGCAACTATAAAATTACCATGGTAGCATTGAGTAAAGTTACTTGCTACTTTCTACACAAGAAAAATCTAGATATTTAAGCACAGTATTACTTAAAGAATTAATTTTTTCTGAGCTCTAGACTTTTGAGTGAATTTGGTTAATGTATATTATTTAAGAGTACTGCTTTTTAACAAAAGACGTTTGTTTTATTAGTCAGAGTACAGTAATAAACATGACTGTGTGTGCGCCTTAAGGATTGATGTCTTAAATATTTATAAAGGTTTATCCTGTCTATACCATTAGGCACAAAGTGTTTTCCTTTGTTCCATAATCACAGTTCCTTACCCAGCTCCATGACTGAGTAATTCAGAGTTGGAAATGAGCCCATGTATAACTGCATACGTCTAAGAACCAAATCTTAACAATGACTGAGGACAATCATGGCACAAAAAGAACTTAAATCAGAAATAATTCAGATAACTCCCATTCATTTCTTAAGTCTGAAAATTATAAAGCATCCTTAAATACTAATGAATGAAAAAATAAATACATGAACAATAGTAATTACCTTTTAATTACAAGACCTCTGCTTAAAATCTTGTAAAAGGATCTTTCCTCACAGACTGCTTTTCGGTCATCTTATATTGGTGAGTTTGCCTGGTGTTCTCCCAGATGACCTGGGTTCAACATCTGCTCCGAGGAAAGATTCTCCTGGCTCAGTAATTAAAATGCAATGATCTTATTACAGTTGGAAAAATGATTTATTCATCTTTGTTATACATTGATTTTTGGCATGGCAGAAAATAGGGGAGAGATATTATATGTAATTCCATGGGGCCAGAGATGGGTCTAATATTACCTAATACCTTCAGAACTGACCAGATCAAATTAGACAGTAATCCAGAGTTAGAGAGGCTGACTCACACTTTGAAGAGACGGAACACCGCAGAGGCCATTGAGCATTTGATGAATCAGTGGGATCAGATGGCTTGAAGGAGGGACACTGTTACATAGACCTGGAGAGCAAGAATAAAATATATGAATGGTGGGGGAGAAATCACAGAAACTGACAAAGAAGAAAGATGATCAATGAAATGACACATATGCAAAAAGAACAGAACTGACCTGAAATGCAAAAATAGAATGACCATGTGAGGTAACTATTCTTTCTCTTCTTAGACACAACTGTCTAAGGAGAGACACTATTGTTAAATCATAGTTTGGAAAACTAAACAGTCTGATTTTCTCCTGGCAGAAAGAATATGGGAACGCCGTGCTGCATTTAATTCACCATTACTCTTTCTTAACGAATAAATTTGCTTCTCAATTCCCCACTTTCTTCTAATGCCAAATTCTAAATTAATGCATTTAACTGCCACCCCATCTTAACCTTTTACCTGTATGTAATCAGGTGTATTTATTTTCTAAAATGATTCAGTATTTCTGACCATGGTCTGAATGTCTATCTTAGTGTTAACAGTACAGAAAATAACATGGCAACAGATTAACAATGTTTTTAATACAAGGGCCAATAATACATATAAGAAAAGATGACATTAAAAAATCAGCAATAACTGGGTAGACTGTTCACTTTCATTAAAATGCCTTGAGTCTGTCTGAAAAAAATCAGCTATAATAAATACTCATTAGGTAAATGGAAAGGTCTGTCTCTATAAAATGTTGTGACTCATCATTCTGTTAATCCTAGTTATTGATAATTTTTCTGTTTAAAATAAAATCACATAGAATAAGTCACTAAATTTTCTCTTTTTGAGAATTATTTTGCATATCCTAGGTTTTTTGCTTTTCATACAAATTTTAGAAATAACATCAGTTTCTATAAGAACTCCTGCTGGGGCTTTTTATTGGAAGTATCACCAATTTAAGTGATAGTTTTACAATAATGAACATTCTGACCCACCAGTATGGTGCAGGTCTTGGGCATATTTTGTTAAATATATCCCTAAGTATTTAATATTGTCGATGCTGTTATAATTGGTATTTTGTAAATCTCAATTTTCAATTATTTATTGCTAATACATACAAATACAATTGATTGTGTATGTTGACCTCTTATCCTGTGGCTTTGATAAACTCATTTAATTCTAGAATATTTATGGATTCCTAAGCATTTTCTGTATGGACCATTATGTCATCTGCAAATAAAGATAGTTTTATGTTCTTTCCCAAAATAAAGGAGAAAAGTTGACACTGATCATTTTAAAAAATTGATTGGAGAATGACATTCTTGACAGACACAGTGTTTACATGTTTAAAAAACAACTCTGTTTATAATGGGACATTTTTGGAGAATAGTGACTGGAAGAAAAACTATCCATCTTTGTTTAACAATGAAGTTTTAAATTTTTTCCTGTGGAATGGTTTTGTGTCTTAGAAAACCACAATGGCTCCTGCTGCTAACAAACATGAGGAGAAGAGTGTGTTAAGAAAAAAATAAAAAGAGGTCCACTTGTTCTTGGAGATTTATAAATCATGAAAACAAGGTCATAACAATTAAGGAAAATATAAGAGGGGAAAAGTCAAGACACAGAAAGAATGAAAAAGAATGTGAGGAATTGCCTTTGGAAATCAGTATATCAATAACATTATGTGAAAGAATTTCTTGGTTCTTTCCAGAAATACAGGTCTTATGAAACCAAAACCGAATTCATCAACTTCCCCTCCAAAACCAGGGTTTTGGTTTTTGTTTTTTTCCATTTCTCCATTCTCTTTCATCAGAACCACATTTCCCAGTATCCCAAGTGGAAACTAGTTAGTTATCTTTGGTCCCTCTTCTCCTTCGCTTTTGACATTCTACTCAAGCGCCAAGCGCCAAGCCCCAAGCCCTATGCATTCTGCCTAAAAAAATCTCCCGGCACCCACTGCCCCGCATTTTCCCTTCATGCGGGGCATGGCCGCCTACTTTCCATTCCTCCCAGGGTCACCTGAATGTCAATTACTTATCCCACGGGCAGAGGGGCAGAGCGTGCCTCGCACAGTTGCTGGTCAATGGCTCATTCCTTCTCTTTCGTCTCTTCATCTTCTCCAGTTCATCTTAGACCAAGAACCAGGAACACATTCTGCAGACAACTCAAGGACACCATGCCTGTGCTAAACATCCCACTCCAGGCCCAAGCAGGCTGGTGCTCACAGCCGGGGTCCCTCTGTCTCTCATGCCTCTCTGCCTGCTCACTCCCAAGACCTGCAGTCCCTGGCTCGCCCCTCTTGGGAGGCAGCCCCCAGAAGCCCAGCGTTCCCTCCCTGACTCCCCCTCTTCCTCTGGGTTTCTTCATCCATTCCCATCAGTACCTTTCCTGTTAGCATGTAAATTTCCATTGCTATGTATAACTTTAGAAGTTTCATGGGTATAAGTCGGAGACTACTAGT